CTACCAGTAATCCTGACAGGAACAAGAACCATCCTTGAAATGATGAAAACGCGTGACATCTCTTACTATAATTTCTCTTCCCACTAGCTTGGAGATATATTTTATGGCAGAATGGCAGTCATTACAAACTCTAAGGTTCTTCATGATCCTCAGCGTAGTATACCCTGGACTATTTATTAATGCAAATGCAATAGCCAGTTTTTCACTATGATGTCTAAGGATCTGTTCCTTCACTTCTTGCTCTAGGTCATGTAATACAGAATCAGTGTCTGGAGTAAAACCCATTTTCTTTATCTCCTTCCATATTTTTGACATCATTCTGTATATCGCATCTCTTTGTGGGTGAAGCGCATCTTCAACCCCAAAAATATGTACTTTGTTTTGGATTTGAACCCAACTGAACCCTTGTTCTTTCTTCACTTCCCTGACTTTCATTAACTTTCTAATCTTAGCAGCATCCTCCCATTTACCACAAGCTGAGAGAGTATTAGCAAGCGCCGAGTAAGCACCGCTATTGTTGGGATCAATAAGAAGCAATTTTTCAGCTGCCACTTTAGCCAAATCCATGTTTTTGTGAACCCTGCAAGAAGACAAAAGCGAACCCCACGCTATAACATCTGGTTCAATAGGCATGCTTATTATAAAATTGTATGCATCTTCCATCAATCCAGCACGTCCAAACAGGTCAATCATACATGCGTAGTGGCTAGGGGTAGGTTCAATGCGATGAACGTTTTTCATCAAATTAAAGTAACGCTTACCCTGCTCTACCAATCCCACATGCGTACAGGCAGACAATACACCAACGTAAGTAATATGATCAGGCTTTAAGTTAGATTTCAGCATCTCTTCAAACAGCTCTATGGCCTTGTTTCCCAGACCATGTTGAGCTAGAGCTATAATCATGGAAGTCCAAGTCAATGTATCCCTTTCAGTGCATATTTGATTGAATACTTTCCTTGCATCTTTGATACATCCAGATCTCGAGTACATGGTAATTAAAGCATTACCCACAGAAACCGATGACACTTCTTCCAATCTTATTGCAGTTGCATGAAGCTGCTTACCATGATCCAAAGAAGCCAAGCTTGAAAAGACACTCAGTAAAGCTGCTAGAGTATAACTGTTTGGCCTTGTGCCTTCTGTAATCATCAATCTAAATAGCTCCAAAGCATCGTTAAGTAAGCCATTCTGTGCATAACCTACAATCATGGCAGTCCATGCAACTACATCGCGACATTTCAACGAATCAAATATCTCTCTCGCCGGGTTTACATCCCCAATTTTGACATAGCCATTCAAAAGGGATGTGAATGCTATAACATTAAGACTCGAAGTGCCTCTTAATTCTACAATTGTTCGAGCAATTTTCACTGCACCAGATTTGGCATACATCGAGATAAGGGCATTCCCCAATGCCCCGGAGATATCAATATCAGCTCTTACAATAAATGCATGGAGTTGCTTCCCAAGTTTCAAGCTTTCAAGATTAGCACAGGCCGACAAAACACTGCCCAAGGTGAACTTATCCGGCTTTAAAGATGAACTCCTAAACATATAAGAAAATGTTTCCAGAGCTTTGACGTCATATCCCTGATGACAGTAACCTGCGATAATGGAATTCCACGAGACAATATCTCGATCAGTCATTTGATAAAAGAGCGCAAGAGCAGTGTCGAGTCGACCAAACTGCATATGCATTGAAATCATAATATTCCAAGTCGATTTATCTCTTAGCCTCATTCGATCAAAAACAACCTTCGCCATTGCCGAATCACCCGACTTTGCATACATATTAAGCAACGAATTAGCAACAGGAACCACACCAGTCAACCCGAGTTTCACAACAAAGGAATGAACCTTGTTACCAATATCCAACGTTCCAGTCGCAACACAGGAAGCAAGAACATTAGTAAACGTGAACTGGTTCGGCGAAACTCCAGAGGAAATCATTTTCAGAAACGTGTAAATAGAGGTATAAAAAAGACCCATTTGGTTATAACCCACTATCATGGAATTCCATGAGACGGAATCTGGTTGAGGAATTTCATCAAACAAACGGCGTGCAGTTTCTATGTTGCCACCTTTGGCATAGGAAGCGAGAAGAATGTTCCATGAGAATGTGGTTTTGAGTGGCATTTCAGCGAACAGACGGTGAGCGTCTGTGAAAGAGGAGGTTTTGGAATAGAAATTGAGGAGGTTGTTCATCAAGAAGGCGCTGAGCTGAAGGCCGTGTTTGATGATTCGAGCGTGGATGAATCTTCCGGTGGAGGAGTCTCGGGATTTGATGGCTGATTGGAGAAGATGGACGTATGCATCGGATTGGGAGAGGGGTTTTGGGATCTCCATCGACTGTTGCTTAGTATTGCAAATTTGAAAGGAAAAAAAAACACACACACACACATTTACTTTGTTCATTTACTTTGAGGAGGTTGCTTAGTATCATCATTAAATCATTTGTGAAGTGCTTAAATGTTAACGTGATCAAATTTTAACACAATTATAATTATCATATTTTCGTAATAAATTTTTTGCGCGCAAACTTTGAAAAATCTTCGACAATTCAATTTTGAAAAATCAATTGAATTTTTGTTTTTGTCTATTCACCATTCTATATTGTTTTCTTAGTCCATATTTTCACTTAAAAATTGGCATAAGAGTTGGTCATTTGATTAAGTCTAATTAACCCCAAAAGATTTGAGAATATGGCAGACGATGACGATCCAAAGAGAGTGTATAATAGAGCGTTGATTTCAAATGTGAAAATTATACTTATTGGAAAGCGAATGTGTACTTACACATAATATTAATTGACAACAAATTGTGGTGTGTCTTCACCAAGGGACCATATATCTCTAAGGGGGTTGACGGTGTTGTTAAACATCCAAAAGATTGAACATATGATGAAACCAAAAAGACTTCATATGATTTGAAAGCGAGGAACACATTTATTTCTATTTTAAACACGCAAGTATTCTACTCAATTTCACATCATACGAGTACTAAAGGTATGTATGACGCTCTTCATACTCTCTATAAGGTAATTAAAAGCGTCAAGGATTCTAAGATCAATACGTTTACGTAGGAGTCAAACTATTTCGTATGGAACCCGAAGAATTCGTGAATTCCATGCAAACTATATTCCTCCACTTAATCAACAAATTGAGTAACTTGGGTAAAATCTTTACTAACAAAGATTGTAATAACAAAGTATTGAGATCTATGTGCAACGAGTGGCAACTAAAGGTTATTGCTATAAATAATCTAACGATCTTAATACTTTAGATATTACAAAGTTGTTTGGGAAGTTAGCCGAACATGAAAATAAACTGAAATGACTCACGGATAGCGAAGTAAAGTCGAAAAAGAAAGAGAAAGGAAAAGAAGAGAAAATGAATCTTTCGTTGAAGGCTTCATTCTAATGGAAGAAGTCAAAGGGATAAAGTGATCATTATGACGAAGAAGCTCTTAAACAAAAGAAGATGGATTTATTCGTCAAATGCTATAATAGATACTTAAAAAGAAACAAGCTCAAGTATTCCGACAAAGGATTAATAAATTTCATAAATACTTATCTGTCTAAAACAGAACACAAGAAAAATGATGATGACATTACATGTTACGATTGCGATAAATCGAGACATTTTAGAACTATTTGTCCAACTCACACCAAACATCATAAAAAGAAAGATAAGGAATTCTACAAGACGAAAGGAAAAAGCTCCAAAGGTCATAGAGTCTATATCACATGGGTATAAGAGGATGATAGCTCCTCCGCAAATTCTTGCTCAATTTTAGATGATGAGTGTCTCAACCTATATTTGATGGTATGTAATAAAGGTGAAACTTCAAATGCATATACTTATGAACTCAATAATGAATATTCATATAGTGAATTATTGGAAGCGTTTAATGATATTTATGTGGATTCTATAAATGCTTTTAAGAAAATATCTCTCCAAAAATAAATGATTTTAAAACTTGAAAAGAAGATAGATAATCTTAATCGCGTTTTTATTTTCCTTAAGGAAGCGCATACATCTTTAGTTGATGAGTGTTATAATATATCTGACACTTTAGTTGAAAGGATAGAAAAAGTAGAATATGTTACATGTCATCTTTAAAACTTGAAATTAAAACTCTGAAAAGCCAACTAACTCATGCTACTTCACTATCTTATACTTGTTCTAGCTCTTCAAGTGATGGAGATATGGTTTTCAAGAAAAAAACCTTGTGTCACTAGGAGAAATAGAAAAAGCATTTCATTTAAAGCTATGTGTCATTAATGTGGTGATAATGGAGACATTAGGCTTCTTTGTCATATTAGGAACCTTCAAGTTCCCAATGGTAAAATGGCATGGATTCATAAGTGTACTTCAACTAATCTTAAATGACCCATTAGTTAGAGACCTAAATGACATATTTTATTGTCACAGGAAAGTCTTGTCTCCGTGAAAAGATTATGATTTCTAGATAGTAAATGTTCAAGATACATGACGGGAAATACTTCCATGTTCATCAATATCGATGAGAAAGAAAGCGGTCACGTCACGTATGGGGATAACACATGAGTTAAACTTCTAGGAGAAGGTATTATGGAAAATCCATCCATAATCACCATTGAAAATGTGATTTTAGTTAAAGGGCTTAAACACAACCTACTTAGCATTAGCCACTTATGCGACAAAGCGTACATCATGTTTTCGATACTTTTAGTTGTTTAATTGAGCATAAGGCAAGTAAAGATCTTGTGTTTAAGGGTTATAGAATTTATAATGTTTATATGCTTGATCTAGATGATGTGCCAATGCATGGAAGTAAGTTTTTAGTCGCCAATGGTGAAGATTATTGGTTATGGAATAGACGCTTAAGTCACGTGCATTTCGACTTGTAAAATAAAATAGCACCCAAGAATCTAATGATTGGTATAATTTTTTTAAAATATAAACTATGTGATGCTTGACAAATGAGAAAGCAAACGAGAGTGTCATTTAAGTTGGAAAGTGTTATTTCGACATCAAAACCTCTCGAGATTCTCCATCTAGACTTGCTTGGCCCTTTGCGAATAATTAGTTTATGAGGAAATTATTACGGGGTTGTGATTATTGATGAATACTCTAGATTCACTTGGACGTTATTTTTTACCCGTAAGGATGAAACTTTTGAAGCCTTCGTTAATTTTTCTAAGCTTATCCAAAATGTTTAGTTTGAAAATTATCACATTACATAGTGATCATGGTGGTGAGTTTGTTAACCATAAATTTCAAAACTTTTACACCAAAAATGGTATTGTTCATAACATTTCATGTCTGAGAACTCCATAATAAAATGGTGTTGTTGAGTATAAAAATTGTGTTTTAGAAGAATTGGCACAGACCATGATAAGTGAAATGAGCCAACCTAAGTAGAATTTTTTTTATAGAAAAATGGTGTTGCATGACATGTCTTAAACAAGGTGATCATTTGACCCATCCTAGAGAAGACACCCTACAATTTACTTAAAGGTAGAAAAACAAATATTTCTTATTTTGTGTTTTCGGTTGCAAATATTTCATTTTAAATAACAGAAAGGGCATTCTTGGTAAATTTGATGCTAAGTATGATGAAGGGATATTCTTAGGGTACTCATCTACGAGTAAATCGTATGGAGTTTAAAACCATAGAGTTTCTTTAGTAGAAGTATCTATTCATGTTTCATTTGATGAGTCATCACCCTAAAAGACGGGAAAAGGTGTTTATTCTGATGTTTCATGTATGATAACGGAGAAGTTGACCAACAAAGAAAGTTTCAAAGAGGATCATAATCCTTCAACAAAGTATGAGGACATTAGAGAAGATAAATATGAAAGCTTACATGAGGATGATAAACACAAGACCTCGAACCAGCTGCCTCAAGATTGGACACTCGTAAAAGATCACATGTTAGATAAAATTCTAGGAGATATCAAAAGAGGTGAAAGTACTAGATCACAGGTTAACAATTTATGTAAGTAATCTTCTTGCGTTTCTCAGATTGAACCTAAATCAATATTTGATGCATTACTTAACGAGGTATGGTTACTTGTTATACAAGAATAACGTATTTAATTTAAACGTAATGACGTTTGAGACCTAGTTCAATGTCAAGTTGATAAAACAATCGTTGACACTAGATGGGTATTTAGGAACAAGATGTATGAAAAATGGAGTAATTTTTATAAATAAAGCAATATTAGTAGATGATCTAGAAGCTATTAAACTCCTTTTGGCATTCACTTGCTGCCTGGATTTTAAGCTTTACCAAATGGATGTTAAATCTGCTTTATTCTTACAACCCCCGGGTTTTGAGGATCACGACAATCTTAACTATGTTTTTAAACTAAAAAGAGATTGAGTAGAAGTTTAATCAAACAAGGATTAAATCACGGTAAAGTTAACACCACTTTGTTTATTAGACGTAAAGCAATGCATATTCTTTAGTACAAATATATGTAGATGATATTATTTTTGGTTCTGCTAATGAATCTCTTTGTTGAGAGTTTTTAAGTTTGATGCATGGATAATTCGAGATGTCTCTTATGGGAGAGCTGGCATATTTCTTAGAATTGCAAATCAAGCAAGTCAAATAAGGAACTTTCATAATTCAAAAAAAAAATACTTCTTAGAGCTTCTCAAGAAGTTCGATATGAAAGTCTCAAAAAGTATCTTAATGTTTATGGAATTTAATGTGCTTATTGACAAATACGAGAGAGGAGTAGACTTTGACATTGCTAGGTATAGAGGTATAATCAGATCCTTACTCTATTTAAAAGCAAGTAGGCCATATATCATGTTTATTGTGTGTATGTGTGCTAGATATCAAGCATCACCTAAGGAATCCAACTTTAAGATCGTAAAAATTATTTTAAGGAATCTTAATAGAACCTACCAACATAGTCTTTTGTATTCTAAAGATAGTGCTTGTAGCTTAGTAGGTTTTTTTAATTATGATTTTGCGGTGTGCAAGTCAAATAGGAAAAGCACTAGTGGTACATGTCACTTATTTGGAAGTTATTTAGTTTCTTGCCACAATAAGAAACACCATGGCATTTCTCTTCTACCATTGAGGATAAATATGTAGCCAATTGTAGCTGTTATGCACAAGTCTTATGGTTAAAGAAACAATTGCTAGATTATAATTTAAAACTTGACTGCATCCCAATTAAGTGCAATAGTAATAGTGCGAAAAACCTCACTAAGAATCTGGTACTTTATTCACAAACTAAACACATTGATATCCGATGCCATTTTCTTAGAGATCGTGTTGAAAAAGGGATGTTGATTTTGAATACGTTGACACTAAAAGTCAACTTGCCAACATTTTTACAAAC